AATATAAGTTGATAAAATTAAAGATAAATAATCGAAACTCAACTTTAAGTATTGCTTTATAAAGGTCAAGCTTACATTATACTATAATGTGTAATCACGATAGGTAAAGATCACTTGGACTAAAACCGACATTTCTAAAAGAAACACGTAACGCCTATTGCGTCTTTGTTTAGCCAGAAAATTTGTACTGGTATATAGTCACACGTTGACGTAACCGTAAAGAGATGCCCACGAAATTACATATAAATATAGGTATTTTTTAAATAAATCTAACAATAAATAGGTTCGAAGAGTACCTATCTTTATAAAGATTGATATAAGCACTAAACAACAGAACAATATGGTTAGTTAGCGTCTGACGCGAGCCAACTAGGTATAGGTCTCAAAAGACCTGTCTGAGCTCAGTACGCCATTTTCGCGTATGGTAAGGTTGTGTCAGAGAAAAAAGGTTGTGTGTGTTGTGTGTGTGTGTGTGTGGTGGTATTTCATATCATCGGAAAGTCTTATTTTAATAAATTTTCAATTTTCTGTTTATCAAAACATTTTTTTTGTTACAAGAAACGAAAGTAAAGCTTATACCTCTGCAATATGGTGGCTTCTTGTTTGGAGAACTAAATTAATAACTCCAACTCGTCGTCGTTCAGCAATGAACCGCTAGATTGCAGCACATTGATTGAAATTTCAAAATAATATCAAAACGTCTAACTTATAATAATAGATTTTGATGGCATTGTACTTTCAACGATATGCCAACACGGTAAAGTTTAAATTATATAACAATCCAGAATTTATTTCTTTTCAAATTTAAACTACGACCAACCAATACCAAGATTTTGTAGTTTTTCAAATTAAGAATCATTTCAGTTAAGTCACTTCCATTGATTTTTCTTCCGTGAACTAGACTCAACACATGCATATGTACACATTGCACAAGTTTAGCAAAGAAGCAGATAGAAACTCGATGCCTCAAGCTTACCACGGTTATGTAGCTTCCTTATTAAGATACCGTACAATATTCTGGGACAAAGGAAACAATGTAAACTCAACTTTCAAGTCACGAAAACGACGTATCAAAACAATTTAAAAACTATTAAATTGGTTTTTAGCTGCAGTAGATGTCTTTGTGATAGAGTTCGTCCATCGACGTACTGCCGCCTTAGCTATTTCTACCGCCAAGCAGTAATTAAAGCATTACTGCGTTCCCGTTTTAAGTTCTAAGAGTAAGGGTGCTGGTAAAATTACAGATACATGGGACTTGTCAACTTACTTGACTGGCGCAGTGGCAGTGCCCCTCAGGTCTTTGCGATTTAAAGCTCTGAGTGGCACAGCAACTGTTATGGACAGGCGTGTCGCTTACCACCAGGCGCACGACTTGATCGTCCTATCACTTGGTATCATAAAACAAATATGTCATGTCATAAAACAAATATATGACAAACAATACGTCCGAATGCACCCACACTTGTTCACGGGAGCTCTATAGCCAAGACATTAAGCCCAACTTCGTTTGGAAGCTTGTAAAACTACCTTCACGCATTATTATTGTATATTATGTTAACGGAAGAAGAATAAGATGCAACCATCGTTTTATAAATCTCAAATCGTACGTACCCCACAAACTCGCGATTGATACCAATAGCCATCGCGAGCTCGCATAAGAAATCGTGTTTCCGTTAAACAGTATAATGCTCTATGTAGGCAGCAATACGCTTCAATATTCATCAACAAACATTTCAATTATCACCTCACCTATCCTCGTCAATCCAGACCATGTCCACCGAAGATACGCGAGGAGAGAATTGAAATTTTGCCATAAAATTTTTTATTTGCCTATGGAAATCCACCTTTATAATCTTTGACATTTGCATATATATTTTTTGTTGCTAATTAAATACTATTACGCATCCTGTTATTCTCATTTTTATTATTTTGACATTTAGTTACACTTTAAATAGTGTCGAGCCTAAGGTTCGACACACACTGGCGCAGAGTCGAAGCGTCGCGTCGCGTCCTGTTCTTCAACTACAATGCCTGACGACGCTCCCATTAGTGCGCCCGGATCACAGTGTGGTCGGCCGGCATCTGACGCCTCATTGCGCCCAAGTAAAGACGATCGAAGCCGCTCAACTGCAACCAAGGGTCGACTCGCGTCGACGCTTGACTCCATATTTGCATAACACAAATTTGTACCTTAATAATGGAAAAATAGAGATGAATATGCTATAGGCGAAAAACATGACCCGTCGGGACGTTTCGACTCTGCGCTGGTGTGAGTAGAGCCTCATTGGACCCATGGCGTCCGTTTTTATCCAAAAAATTAATAGACTGTCTGGATTTCTCATAGATGTCGCTACGGCTAGAAAGTCGTTGAAAACCCAAATACAAAGATACGACGCAAGCTATTTCCATGGCTTACTTGGTATAGCGTCTGGCACGATATGCTAGAAGACGTCGGTTCGAATCTGACCGGATCGAAGGAATTTTTTCTGAGTGTTCGATCTTTGTATTAATAATTATTTTTAAAAAACCTAGTTTTACTTTCTAGTATTTAAGCTTTTATTATCTTTTTTACCTTACCTGTATATTTTCGAAATAAAACAATTCATTTTTATGGCGTGGGATATTATTTAGAAAACATGTCACACGTACTTTAGTCCGAAGTACATGTGAATAAATATACAATACACCTTCAATATGTTTGTAGACTTAACGTTTTACTAAACAATACGAGTTTCCATTAATTAAGAAGAATTAAAATTTAAAAACATCCGATATCAAACAGAGTCCAAAAAAAGTCAATAACATCGTCATTTTTATCATAAAAAAAATAAAAAAAATCTGAAAGCGAGTTATTAACTCGTTCATATTTTATTAACACGATAATTGTATTGTAAGTAGGTAGTTGAGACGTAGGGTAGTCTACACACTGACTTGACTTCACCAAAAAGTCAAGGTTACCATATAATAACATTGTAATATCATGGGATTTCTATACTATACTATATAAGTGGAAGAAAATAAAAAATTATTTCATGATAGAGATCCCTACACTAACTGGGAAAAGATGGGACTTGTCAACTTGTGTCTCAGGGTAGGACAGGGTAGGGCGCAGTGCTAGGTAATTTTTAGCAAAATACCAAAGATTTAAGATGATTTAAAATAAAAAATCCGACGCGTTAGTTCATTAGAAAAACAAATATACACGAGTTAGATCCGGAATAAGTTTCATTGAAATCAGTTACAAGAAAGTACGCGAAACCGGATTCATCCCTGAGTTTGCCAATCAAATATAAATGGAACCAATACTGATGTACCCTCTTTCCAATAAAAAAAGAATCATCTAAATCGCTTCACAAATTATCGTGTAACATACACACAATAAAAAATAGCCGATTTGAGAACCTCCTCCTTTTTTGAAGTCGGTTAAAAATAGTTTCATTTACGTGGGAAGATCACAGACTTATGTACGATCCATAGGGTTGCTAATGGGACTCTAGTTGTGGGGCTGCTGGGGCTGCATTCTAGCGTTCCTACTCGATATATGCGTCGCCCGCGAGTCTTCACTAATACCACCATCAAATAACAATGTATCACAAAATAATCCACTGCACTGCCGCTACTACAATGATGTCTGTGGTATAGATTTTGACATATTTTCAAAAAGTTTAAACAATTTTAAGAGATGTCTTCAACGTTTGTAATTTCTTTTTTTTTAATTGTTTTATTTTATTTTTGTAATGAATGATTTTAAATTTACTTAATTTTTAACATTATTTTGATTATTTCTTAATATTATTCATTCATAATTCATCCGTTAATTCCCAAATTTCATATTATTTTAATCAGCTGTGTGTAGTTATATAATTTTTGTTCTTTGCATAACCTGTGTAATAATAATTGGATGACCGTAGCAAAGAGTTGTACTGATAAAGTTATTTTAAGTAAATGTGACTTGTGTATTTGTAAGTATACATATTGAATAAATAAATAAATAAATTTCCAATTATAACGCCTCTTTTTGGGTCGGGGCTTAAAAAAAGACAATCAACGACGTCACACAACGAATAATAATAATAACGCACGCACTCAACATAGCCCACCGCACATTACACCCGAACTCAGGAGAGAAATAAATGTAGGCCATACAAATATTTCTCCCGGCCCGAGAATCGAACCTGGGATCTCTGCGTGGCAAACGGAGCAAAATATAATAGATACTTATATCTCGCGGTTTAGTTTTCCGTACTTTTGATGATTTTGCTTTGTTACACAAAGATCTATAAACATTTGAAAAAAGAAACCTACAATTTTTGCAATTTTTTAAAATACCCTCAAAACAGCGTACGGCGATTACATCTAATTCAATATAGGAGGACATGGATGCAACTTGACGTCATGAATTGCACGATTCGTTATATCTGCATGGACAACTGGCCATGAACTGACATTCTCCTCAAAACTTGTTTCCAGTGCACCGGTGCAAGCTGTACAGAGCACGTAAAACATTGTCAATTGTTTAATCACTTGTACCACAGTTTAATTGTCCATTGTTCAATCAGCCAGACGAGGAAGACTTCGAGTATGAATTTTCGGCAATGGACGCTCGTGACATGACAACAAGGGTTAAAAAATTAATTTAATTACTCCATCTGTCAAAGAAACCCTGCTACCGATAACCCAGGTAACCGGAAATCACAGAAGTTTTTCATTATAATCAATTCGAACTCAATTGACCTAGCTTTGACGCAATATAAATAAGCGATGAGGTACGGACAGTAAATACCAGCTGATAAGATATTTATTACATAACTAATAAGTATTTTGTAATCACAGTTGTACGCGCAGGAGCAACGCCGATGAAGGCCCTTTCGAAAAAGGCAACTAGGCTTTCAACGTTGAATTTGTTTATCTACAAAGTCAGTACTAGGTATAACCTCTCTCGTAACACCAAAACATAGCAGCTAAATTTAAATCATCGGCAGTTAACAGCTCTAACTCACCGGCCCACGGTCCATATTTCTTCACCAACGACTGTTCCTCAGCTGGAAGGAAATACGGCATCAGGTACGATGTCACCAGCTCCAAAACACTCCACAGGGAATCTACTAGGACTAGACACACTGCAATGACCCCAATCAAAGCTAGAACTAACATTAAAAACATGACTTTAAATTAAATTTTATATTTATTAAAACTAAAATTGAACTTTGTTTTTTGACGCTGTTTGAGACGGACTTCTAGGTATATTTTGACGTGTGTCAAAGAAAGAGCTCGAAATGCACAAGTCGTAGCTACATCACGCGCCGATGTGCACTGGATGCCGAACCAACTCTCATTCAAGCGCCGGCCGTCCGCCGGAGAAACGACGACCTACAAAATAAGTCTTATGTCACCCCAACTAACGCCTGTACATTTATTAATAGCAAAAATGTTTATATACTTCTTTGCCAAAAATAAGTTCCACTTTTTGAATTTAATAAATCAAAAATAAAATTTAAATACTTATTTTTTATAATTTGATTTATTGGAACACTTTTTTATACTTAAATTTGGTTTGATTTTCTTCTGTGTACACGTATTTTAACCCATTTCGAGCTTCATTATACATTTTTAGTACCCAGGTATCTATTATTAAACTGTAGTCAAACCTGATATATTTAAAAGCATTCTGGAAGACTTTAGCAGCATATAAACTGGAAAACCCTGCCAAATTAATTTATAAGTGGCGTCAGCATGTAACTGGTTAATATATATGAAAAAAAAAATCGATTATTTAAAAAGAGCACATTTACAATATATTTGAGTTTCAAATAATATTGTCACTTTGTTATACATTCAGCCGTTGAATGTTCTGTTGTTTTCAAAGACAAAGTCAAAGATTATTTATTCCATAGGTAAAATAAATTTACACTTGAAAACGTCACATTTAAACTACTGCTCGTTCACTACGCTGACCTCCCTGAGAAGAACGAGCAAGAAACTCTATTGCTTTTGGATTGCTCTTTTCAAATAAACTTAAATGCTATGGAATACACTTTGAATCAAATTTGTGTGGATTCTGGAGCCATGTCGTCTTTCCATACATCTTTATCTAACACGTAGTCTTCAATTTTGTAGTATGATTTTTCGATCAAAATATTTCTAATGTAGTTTTTAAACTTAGGAATTGATAAACTTAATATATGCTCCAGAATATTATTGTAAAAACGTATACAGTTCCCCATAAAAGAGTTGTTTACCTTTGTTAAACGAAATCGTGGTACCATGAGTTTGGACTTGGCTCTAAGATTAATATTATGGATATCTTCTTTCTTATTGAAATTATGTATATTTTTACGGGCATATAAAATATTTGAGTAAATGTACTGTGATGCCACAGTCATGATACCAGTCTCCTTAAACTTTTCTCTGAGAGATACCCGAGAGCCTAGATATATATTATATCAATGTATACAGCACCTAAATCTGCAAGTAAATACAATTATTTCTGATGTATTCTGTGTTATATAAGTATCTATGTGTAAATTGTTCTAGAATTACTCAAGGACAGTTTCTTATTTGTTACATAAAATACTGTATTGTATATATATATACACAGTAGGTACCCTACTAAAAAATTAAAAGATCATTAAAATTAAAAAAAACTCTGATAGAAAACAACGTGCAGTAAAAACTTAATAAAGCCGACATCTGTAGGTGTGGAAACCAATTTAATGAATGCATACTGAATAGATATTTGTTAAACTTTGTCCCGTGAACGATCTTCCTGCTCCATGAGATTTTGATCAACAACTACCAACTCGTCAAGACATACCCTATGACTCCAAATTTGTCAGGCCCCGTTTAATAACGATACCTCGAATGAACACTACGGCAAGTAAATTTTTTAACCTCTTCGTTTTTTTTTTTCACAAAATTTGGTTCTTTGTTTTTTTTCGAATTTTGTTTTTAAGTCTTTTTTTTCACGATGTTCGGGGAGCATGATCTTAGTAAATAAATATGGCTGTTTACAAAAATAACAGAAAACGACCATGTAATAGAGTTTGCGTAGTGTTCCAACAGCTTTAAGAGACGATACTATCTTAGCACGAATTCAAATTTTTCCCGTAGTAAAGCCATTTTACTTGGGTCGTTATAATCTTATATATATACAGGTCGTTTATAAAAAAAAATCATTGGTATATGTGAAGTATACCTACCTATTGAATACAGTGGGTTTCTCGTAAAAATTTCGAGATAAGTTTGTGTTCTTTTCTATCGTGAAAATTTTTAAGAATCGTGTTCTTACACTTTATAGTAGTAGTGTATATCCATTTTTTTTTTCCAAAGTGGTCGATTCGACACTCTCACTGTCATGCGGAATCAACCAAAGCCATTTGAGCAAGTTTAAAAGCAAATTGACCAACGCCTGAACTACGTACTCAAGATTTTAGGATTTGTAATGAAGCTTACTTAGTTTTTGTTTGATGTTTACTAGTTTATTTTTCGTCATACTGATATGATTTGAGTAACATTTGCAGGCTAATTCATTTGTACCTTTTTTGCTGTAAAATATCGATGTGTGGAGATTTCTCTTCTGTTCCATAATGAATTTTAAGATAAAATTGGACTTACTCGCAAGTGTGAAAAGCATTGTTATTATATGGGTGGCACAGTGGCAGAACTCCAGATCTTTAAAACCCACGCCTTTGGAACGGGCTTTAAAATTCCGTAATTCCAATATTTTATTAAAATTTTGTAGCAAATACCTCTAAAAAGTTTGCTTCAACATACTTCCAGGCGTTCTGCATTTAAAGTTTATGATAGGTACGTAACATCGTAGATATTTCAGGATTGGGCGAACGCTGTAAGCATACTATACATATATCTATATTTCAAAATATTTATTGGGTTCTGATAACACAAATTGAGTAAGAAAAAACTATACTTCTTTTAAGGAAATTAGCAATTTTCCTGACCTAATTTAAACTTTATGCTACATAAATAGTGTTTTAAATTAACTGCCTCCGTGGCCGAACGATAACCGCCCTGGTCTGCCACGCAGAGGTCCCGGGTTCGATTCCCGGGACGGGTGAAATACCTATGGCCTACATTTAGCCCTCTCGTCAGTTTCGTTTGGGTGCAATTTGTGGTTGTCTATGTGTGTGCCCATGGCACACGCGATACAGGATTTCTCTACTCTTCTCTACTGTAATTATACGCACACACTCATAACGGAGCTACGAGTGTGTCGTTATATTATAATTCCTTTCAATATCATGAATATAAATATTTAGTAGATTGTTCAGTCAACCGTGACCATGGGACTTGTAAAGGGCCCGAAACGTCGGTTTGTTTGAAAAACAAATATAAGCGATTTAAATCCGGAAAAATAGTTTCATTTCCTATGTTCAGTTCATTGACTTACAATTATATGGACGTCGGGTCCGCGCTAAAAAGTGTCCGAACTTATAGGGCGTTAAAATCGTATACAGAGCGTCATTCACGCTTTAGTCTTCGTTTGTTTCTTCTGACAGCGCAGCAAGCAAAATTAGACAGTACTGCGATGACATTACAATTTAAATTCAACGTTTTAGCTTTTTCATATTCCTTGACATGTCACTACGTTTAAATAGGTTGACTTGGGACATTTTTTTCGTGGTTTTTGTATTAGACCCGTCGTCCATTTATTTGTAAGTCATTGGTTCAGTTATATATCTTTTTATATTTTCAAAGTATAGAAATTAAACAAACTTTGAAGTAAGTTTTCTCCAAAACTTAAAATTGCCACACGGGATTAATCCTCATATCACACGTTTGGAATAATAAAATGCATCAATTGCTAAACTTCACTCGAAATAATTCGTCTTAATCGGTTATTTTTTAATTACACTTTTATAATAATTGATAGTTTTTTGTACAATAAGCTGTTTGAGGTTATCCTTGTAAGAGATTTTATTAAAACTTACAATATAATCATACGATGAGCCCATAAATTACTCATTGAAACTAAAGGTCATTAAGGTGTTGATTGATTGATTGTGCCGGTCCCGAAACTTAAAAAAAAACGCTCAGAAAATTAATAACACTTTATCGTTCACAGTATCTAAGTATACAGTTCGAAAAATAACTAGAAAACTATTTTTACAATATTATACCTAGACAAGAAAATATTCATTGCGACGCCATAACACAAAAACACACAAAAAAAAATCAACTCAATTTGCGTCTGTGCGTACGCATCTCCTCAACTAATGTCTAAGACTTAGATTCTAAGTGAACATAGAGGTTTTATGCACGGATAGACTCCTATTTTATAATTACATATCGAAAGTTTAAAACAAATATTAGGTTGGTAGGTCAATGACAATAGGAAAAAGAGTGACCGTCAGGATGGCTGGTTGCCTGAGTGTACATTCAAAAATTGCTACCTATTTGCTATCTTTTTTAAATAATTGCTACCTTTAATATATTCTGAGACATTTCAAAAAATAATTGACCACCCATTCTGATATCAGGATGGCTGATCGCCACTTTGTTCAGCATGAAGGGAGCAGATTTTCCAGAAGTATATGTATATTACCAATAATTGCTACTTTCACGAATCAAAGGTATACGCTTCCTATCTAAGCTACGTAAAATTTTCAATCGCTTATATTTTTTAAACTAATGTAAATAAGAACCGTATACCTAGGTAGCAATTATTGGTAATACATACTTCTGGAAAATCTACTCCCTTCATGCTGAACAAAGTGGCGACCAGCCATCCTGACGGTCACGTTAAAAATCATTTAAATTTTAATTACATTAGGGCACGTTTCCATTAACTCGTGGCGACAGATATCGTGCATTTTAAAGTGTCGTGACTTGTATATTTAGATGAAGTTGTTCGCACATAGAACAACACCATTAAATGTCGTTCACGACTTATTTGACGTTACGACGACAGACTGTCGTGGCTTCCCATTGGGGAAGCCCAAAACGACAGTTGTCCGTCAATAAATAAATAGTCACGATAAAATGTGACAACAGATAATCGCAACTTCAAACTATTCTGTCGTGCAAACGACAAGGCGGCTGCCGTGAACCGATAAATTGTCGTTACGATCTAGTGGGAACAGTTAGACACAATAGTCGTTCAACGACAAATAAAACGTTACGGCATAATGGGAACGCGCCCTTAC